ATTTTTATCAATTGTTGTAATATTTTTTTTAAATATTTTTTTTTGAATAAATGTGATTTAATAATAATAAGTCGATATAACTGTTTTTAAAAATATACTTATGTTTTATGTAGAGGAAGAGTTTAAACTTCTCCTGCAATAACAATTAAAAAGGCGTAACCAACAAAAACATACATAATATACAATGTACAATAATTATGCTGAAAGTAATGAGAATAAGAAGAGAAAAGAGTATTATTTAAAAATTGGACGTCATTTTTTTAATCGTGCCTGTAGCCGTCCATCTACATAGGCCTAGGCCTATTCGAAGTAACCGGATCAAATATAATGAAAATATATAAGGGGCGGGTGTGGAATATGCAGAAGGGAATAAAAAGACCGTTATGCTTCGTGTTTAGGCCTATGAGGCGTATAAGACGAGCTGTCTGATGTTAAACGCGTTTATCGAGCGTCAGAATACCATCTTTACACGTTCATTGAGCGTTTTAAAATTCTTTGGGTGCGACTAATTTCTTGGCGATAGAACCACTTTAACAATGACGTATTCAAGGTTGTTATATAAATATTAATTCCGCTAATAGTAATTTTTATATCACGTTTACACATAAGAATCACTTAACACCTTGATTGGTACATAGCCGCCTGAGCTTCAGTAGTCGGAAAAATATCAAACGAAGGCCGAGTACGGTGAGTTATGTTTTAATCATGTGTACCGTTTGTTAACCAAATCACAATTTCAATAGGGCTAGCTGTCGCCAAGTGGTCGCATATCATTTACAACGTTTATTTATATTAAAGCTGGCGGTAATGATAGAAATATAATTGTAAGGGAAACGATTATCATGCTGTTGTCATCTTTATCCTCATGTGATAATTTTTTTTACTAAGCTTAAAATGCCATGTCCTAAATGTGATATAAAATATTTGAATAATTTGAGATTTTTTTTTGGTTTAATCTTTGTATTGTCATCTTTTCAATTGTTATTATTAATCTCATTGAAATGAATACCTAATATAAATAATTATAAACGATTATCATGCTGAAAACAAAAACAAAAACAAAAGGTACAAACATTATTATATCTTGTTCAGTTATAACGCAGTGATAGTCAATGAGTGATATGTAGAAAGCATTTATTTATATAATTTTTCTATAAAATTTTATTTCATGCTTTTATTATATTCAACTATTTTATAGAAATGAGTGCGTTATTATCCAAAGATACGCTTTAACAAAAAGAATGTAAGCTTTAAAAAAAGTGTGTAAGATCATAAAAATGAAAACCCAGAAAAATGGAGAAATATCAAACTGTCTTGATTGTATGAAAATGAATAAAGGTGGTGGTGGTTACCCCACAAAAGGGAAAAAAATATCATGCTGTTGTCATCATTATCAATGTGATTGATTTGTCTCCCTAGGCTTAAATACCATGTCTTAATTGTGATACAATATATTTGAATAATTTGAGATCTTTTTGTTAAATCTTTGTATTGTCATCTTTTCATTTGTTATTAAAATTCTCTTTGAAAGCAAAATTATAAATATTTAAAATTGTATTATGACCACGTCTTCAATCCGGCTGAAATCTTTCCTCCGGCATCTCCTAATCCTACGACCAGCCAATAGAACATTTCATTCCATTTTTCATTTATTCGTCTCGATATTAAGGTACAAAAGCACGTAGATCAATGTATTATTTATCTGTCATTGAGATTTATTGTGTTTTCCATAATTATTTTCCATATCTTTAAGCTATTGCCTGGTTTTATATTTGTATGTGACTGTAATATTAGGAAAGTATACGGTAGTAGCTAGTGAATGCTTGTGTTAAGATTTTTTTCACGGTACCAGGTTTATTGTTAACTTTCTGCCCGAACGATTTGTTTCAAAATAAACTTCGAGGCAATACCAACATGTACTACATACGTGAGTGTAATCAACAAATTGTCACTTATACGGCCAGTATGTATACTTATACTTACCGTACCTTACCTTAATATCAAATTAATAGCCTATTTAGTGTATATGCATATATCCATTATCGAACCACTATTTAAGGTAAAGAATTCATATTATAAATAAACATTTTTATAATAAGACGGCATTTAAATGACAACAAAAAGATAAAAAAGAAAAATGGTATGAACACAGATAGAATGCCTACAGACACGACTATTAGTTCCAAGAAAAAAAGTAGTACAGTACTATACTGCAGGAGCAATTGGTTGATATCTAGCGGCATTAATGTGAATTAAGTCCGTATTAATGGCTTACGATTAGCTGGAATAAATCAACCTCATTTTCAGGCGTTGCCTGAGGTTACCGCCAGTCAGAGTAATATGAACAGCACCGCATGCGGATTGATTTCTAATTTCCCTCTAAGGGACTACCAACAATGGACCGAGTCATTCTTATTTTCTAAATAATTGTACAAGAACGTTTGAGTATTTTTCTAAAATTGCAACCGTTTCTTACAGTGAATTAAAGCAATAACAAGATTGAAGAGAGGCACCACACAAAAAATAAATTAGGATGGATTTTTCATGTTTGATTTTGCGATAGGCCTGCGAAGAAATATAGTAGGCACTGAAAACATTAGCCTATCCAACACTGTTAGGCTGAGCCTAGCCTTACCTCCATTTAGGTTCTGTTAAAAAAAATGATACTAAAATGGAATTATTCATTACATTAAGATGATTACTATTGAAACCTGTAAAATAGGCAGACCTATTTTATTTTTGTTTTGTTGCATCTGCTAGTTTATGTAAGCCTGAGACAAATGCTTCAGTGTATACTACATATTCTCCTCTCAATCTCGTTTGCTTTGTATTTGTTTTGATATGGACATTGTCTGAAATAAAGAGAAATTGAATTGAAATATCACACATAAAAACGGCCGACATGATATTTTCCGTTGCTAGTATTGACACTTGTGAAATATAATATTTCATAGGAATTATTTCAAATCTGTTAAAAAAAATGATTCTGACCGAGATTTTGACAATTAAACAAACAACATATCTCAGGCCTACTCGGTCGATCGCAGTGTGCAAGATGCGAAGTACAAAAACCAATTTCATTAGAGAGGGCGCACTTTATTGACTGTATAAAGTATACATAAAATCGAGAGCATTCTAGCGGATGCATTCTACAACCTTGGAATTTGCCTAGTAACGAAGAATTTGTCTAGAAAATGGTAATCTCCTATGAGAAATAGTCTGTATTTCTCATTTTTTAAATATTTGTTTGCGTAAAACTAAAATTTATGACAATATATTTCCATTGTTTATAATAAATAGAGTAATGCATATGCATTTTTTTTCTCAAAAGAATTCTTTTTTAGTGAAATTTTGCCGGGAATGGGGCTTTAAAATCTAAATATTATCAACTTCCTTATCCTATATGTGAAATGGATCTATGTGAAATACAATTAAGTGGACGTGCCAAAACTCTAATATATGCAAACGAAATGTATATATCTTTCTCAAGGCTTTCAATTAGTCATACACTATATTAATTCATCGACCAAATCGATCTCTGGAATGAGCTACATAATTTTAACACTTAATTAAAATCACATTTGAAAATTAAGAGTTGATGATACATATACTTAGCTAGCTACAATAATACATTTGACTTTCCGTTTAGCTGTCTCTTATACACATCTAGATGTGTATAAGAGACAGCTACAAAACTACGGAATAATTTCATATTATCTTCTCTCATGTAACGTTTTTTTCTCCTCATTCTTTTCCTCTTTTGTTTTCTTTTCTTTGTAATCTGTTTGGACTCAGTCCCCTCCCTTGTCATTTATTTTAAGAATGTTACGCTAGCGAGTTTTCTACATGTGTTATTTTTATCAATTGTTGTAATATTTTTTTTAAATATTTTTTTTTAAATAAATGTGATTTAATAATAATAAGTCGATATAACTGTTTTTAAAAATATACTTATGTTTTATGTAGAGGAAGAGTTTAAACTTCTCCTGCAATAACAATTAAAAAGGCGTAACCAACAAAAACATACATAATATACAATGTACAATAATTATGCTGAAAGTAATGAGAAGAAGAAGAGAAAAGAGTGTTATTTAAAAATTGGACGTCATTTTTTTAATCGTGCCTGTAGCCGTCCATCTACATAGGCCTAGGCCTATTCGAAGTAACCGGATCAAATATAATGAAAATATATAAGGGGCGGGTGTGGAATATGCAGAAGGGAATAAAAAGACCGTTATGCTTCGTGTTTAGGCCTATGAGGCGTATAAGCCGAGCTGTCTGATGTTAAACGCGTTTATCGAGCGTCAGAATACCATCTTTACACGTTCATTGAGCGTTTTAAAATTCTTTGGGTGCGACTAATTTCTTGGCGATAGAACCACTTTAACAATGACGTATTCAAGGTTGTTATATAAATATTAATTCCGCTAATAGTAATTTTTATATCACCTTCACACATAAGAATCACTTAACACCTTGATTGGTACATAGCCGCCTGAGCTTCAGTAGTCGGAAAAATATCAAACGAAGGCCGAGTACGGTGAGTTATGTTTTAATCATGTGTACCGTTTGTTAACCAAATCACAATTTCAATAGGGCTAGCTGTCGCCAAGTGGTCGCATATCATTTACAACGTTTATTTATATTAAAGCTGGCGGTAATGATAGAAATATAATTGTGAGGGAAACGATTATCATGCTGTTGTCATCTTTATCCTCATGTGATAATTTTTTTTTACTAAGCTTAAAATGCCATGTCCTAAATGTGATATAAAATATTTGAATAATTTCAGATTTTTTTTGGGGTTTAATCTTTGTATTGTCATCTTTTCAATTGTTATTAATAATCTCATTGAAAGGCTAAAGTATAACTATTTTCTATACACAGACAATTGTATATCCACTTTACTTTTTTTGAGATTTTAACTTCCAACAAACACTTATTATGATAACGGTTACATAGGCTTAATATTAAGCAAGAAAAAAACAACGATTAAATACCTTAAATGCTTCTATTTGCTGTATCTTGAATCGCAAACAGGACTAAGAAATGATGTAGGCCTTTACATTAGACAAGTTGTGATCACCAAGTTCTACTGAAAAACAGACAACAAATGGCACACTGTGACAAAAGCTAGATTTAATATCGCTTATGATAAATCATAATGGTATCGTCGGCCATTGATCGGTGCTGTATGTCATCTTTTTATAGAAACAAAATACCAACGAAGACCTGTAGGTCTAACTCATCAGAGTAAAAATTGTATCGTTCCTAATTGCTTTGTCGGAGAAGCTTCTCAGTCTGCCTTATAGAAGATGGTCGAACCGACCGCGGTATCTGACGGAATAACCAAACTCTGTAAGAAGCTAATCTCCTGCGCCGAGGAGTCATGTACACATGCGCATTTCAATTAATTTTCTGATGTCAACGCTGACATTTTGGTTTCAACTGCGCATTTGAGTTTCGACTGCGTTCACGTGGTCAAGGTCGAGTTCACTCCAATTTACCAGTGTAATTATTAATGCCAGTTTTTAAACGTTGGCGTTTAATATTAGTACAACATGCCGCCACCTGATCATTTTAAACGTTTTCTCACGTTGATGAGCTGAACTGTATTTCATTAGACGTGACATGTTATATCAACCATTAGAAATAATATCAGACAGTTTGAAATTCAGTTTGACGTAATTCTACAACACAATGGCATAATAATATTTAATGTCGAATTTCTTCTGTCCCGATTATGCTTTACAAACACATCTGTATAATTGAAATCTTATTCCAATGGCCGTTTATTTTTAAGGTGAGGATCTCGATTGGAGCCTGGATTACATTTTACTTCTGATGACGTCAGCAAACCAGAGATATAAAATGGGAATTACTGTATGAGAATTAAGAACCACAGAATGATTTTGCAGCACAGCGGTGGTCATTCAAAAGGCCTTGTTGTAGAATTCCTCCTGGGGTCCAAATGTAGTACAATATGTTAGAAACAATTAAGATAATTACGAATCATTCTTTAAGTTCTAGGAGAAGCAAAGACCACCAGATCCGGCCAAGCATACTCATGACATAATTTCTTTAAAAAGCTGAACAATTTTAATATATATTGACTAAAAATCTACACATTTTTTTTGAATCAGTTTATTTAGGAGTAATATAATTACTTCAGGGTAGACCTATTACTTTGTTAAGCAGTTGAAGACACTATTTAGTGACAGAATTTCAGAGCACAGCAACAGATTTAAAGATGATATTTTACAGGTTGATTTGTTGCAATTTTAAACAAATTGAAGCAATATCGTGAAAGACAAAAACTACCCACCAGGCCCGTGTGCCTACAAAGTCCCTGTGACCAGGCCTACAGTCTGTTTGATTTTATAATGCAGAACGGACACAGACTGTATTCTTAATTCATTTATATCAGTTGCCAACACCAGGCTAAGATGAAATATATGATAAACGTTAAATGTTGTCCATGATTACAAACAGTATCTTTATGCTTTAATTAAAATACAGTAATCTAGCTTTATAACGATTTATTGATAATTGTACTTAATTAAATTATGTATCGGGAAAATATATACCGGTATATATACTGTCTCTTATACACATCTAGATGTGTATAAGAGACAGATATTACGCAAAGCAAAGCTTTTACGTAGGCCTACGCAAAACCTTCGAAATAACCTTCGAGTTGGTTGACTAAAAGTTTTGCTCTATATAAAGAAAGCTTGTTTAATTATTAAAAATGGTACAAAGAAACTTCGAAATCGGAGGTTTGATTGAACGTTTGAAAACTCTGATTTTGGAGTTTTCGCGTATGCCTATAGTATAGGCATACACAAAACCTCAAAATTCGGAGGTTTTTGGCGGCGGGCGCAGATATATTCGGATATGTGCCGTTTAAACCGTTGACTTGATCTGTAACGAAGAATACCGTACACTGCCTAGTTACACCATAGTATGGTTCATTGAAATTTCGTGCTCATGTTGAGTATTCTTTTATTTTGTCATTATGCAAACTATGTCGCTTACAAATGGAAAAACAGCCAAGAAAGACAGCGATTATTTATGGACAAAATGAGGCCGGGATAAGCATGTCGACTAACCTTTTCAGTCGACATACATTCAGCTATTAGGAACAGCAAGCGTCCATTCTTAAGATTAAATCGATAGTTTAGCGGTATTGTATCGGAACAACCGCCCCACGGCCCTCATTCTGTGTTTGGCTTTCATTTCGGTGGTACCATACATCTTCGAGACCTTATTAAAATTACTATTTTCACTTGAAATCTCCCTTTTAGCAAGCACCCTTTTTATACCACACCGCTACGACCTGCCGCCGGAAGCTCTGGGATAGGCCTAAGGGCAAATTTATTGATCTATTAAGCCACTGTTTTATCCTGAATCTCCTCATTTAGCTGTAATATGTTGTAAGCTCTGTTGTCACGGTCAACATCCACAGGCATGTCTCACTGATTGTTTACAAAGTCATCATTGCTGAGCTGTTTGAACAGGGGAATAGCAATTAGGCATGTTAAAAAAAACCCCGCTGAAATCTAATAGAACCAATGTCACGTCTGCCAATGATTGCAACGTAATTCATGATCATTTGATTGTAACATAGTTGTAGATAGACTAATGAACTGAACAATCAACTTGATGAATTTCTGTTGATTTTAAATGCATTAAGAAGATCTACATGTCATTAATTGAGAGAGATATATATGGAACATGTTCACCATCGCTATGAAATCGACCGGTGAAAAATGAAGTAATCTTTTTATAATTACGTCATCAACCAAGAACATGAGTACTATTGTGAACGATCAATTAAGCGGCTTTCTAGAAAAAGCGTTGCGCCCGGGGTTGCACCAAACGTGATTTTTAATGTCTTAAGTCAAATCCATTAAGCGCCACTTTATAATGTGGGCAAATAATATCGAATATTCCCCACAATGCCATTATATTTTGTACTACTAAGACATTTTTATACAGTACAACATATTTTTCTCACCGACTGAACAATATTAAAGTAACAATAATTCAGATAGACATACGTAGCAGTTTTTCAAGTGAAGTTAGGGCAATGATGGGAAACTCTATGACTTAATTGTAATAAGCACCGCCTTCAAAAAGCTCACACTTTATTCACAATAAATAATGCCAACGGAAAGGAAACAAATGTGAGATACTGTACAGTGCATGCTTTTATAGGTAAGATTGGCACGTTTTTAACTTCATCCGTATCCGGACGGTTTGGGTCCTCAGTTGCCGTGATAACTTGGTGATAGAAATAGGCCATTATTATTATTATTATTATTATTATTATTATTATTATTATTATTATTATTATTATTATGCTATACAACAGCATTCATATGTATCGCCTATCTTGTTTTAATGTTCTTACGAATTGTTATACTGCTATCGGATGTGTCCCTATCAAAGAAATCAATACGGTTCAACATGGATCACTTCCTATCAGTTAGTCGGACACCCACCATCTCCTTCTATTCCATTTCGCGTCTACAACAACAAACCTCCCAAATAAAATAGTTTGCAGTGTGTATGTCATATCATATTTAAATGCGTAACTTAGACAGAACGGGATGAAATTCTAGAATATTCAATCTCTCTCCCGTCTTAAAAGCTCCAACTGAGGTTATGAGTACAGAAGAGTTGGTTACTCAATAATTTCAGGCTAGGCTTACGGGTTGAATATTGAATCCCGAGTGCAATATGGTAAGTATATTTGTAATTATGAAAAGTACATCGCAATTATCTCGTACGCCAGCAAAATCTTTTAGACCGTTTTCAAACTTCGTAGACCTAGCAATTATAATTTACAGTTATGTGAAAGTTGGCATTACAAAATTACTAGTCCTATGTTAATATCAAAGCACGGTAAAAGCATAGTAACAGCAAAGAAATTTGAAGGAAGGGGATAATAAAGCGAAGATGCTATTACATGTGCCGTCTTTTAGAAAGGCCCGTGTGCATTAATTTAGTCACTGGCGTGCATTAATGCTCGTGTGAACGAGAACCTATGCGTTTTCCATGCAGACCGTACCTATATGCACAATCAGGGCTATATTTACGAGAGGTTCGGTC